TAAAAATTAGCCAAATGTTGAGATAAGGCCGCGTTCCTGCAAAGGACGTGGGGGCGTCATCTTCTGACCTCCTGTATCTTCAGAAGAGGGAGACAGAGTCACCATCAGCAGCCCAAGGCTTATTCCTGAGGCCAGACATGCAGCACCCTCCAGCCTTTTACTAACTTTGATGCCAACTGTCCCTCCCATGGCCCTCACTACTTCTCTGCTGGGTTTGATAATTCATTGCAGTGGCCACACATAACTCACAGACAATACTCACGATTATGGGTTAGGGAAGTAACAGGCTATATGATTGAGATTCAGGAATGCGCTCAGGATACAAATCTTGGGATCAGGACAGTCTCCCCTCTGCTATGCCCTCAGGATGTCTCTCTGGCCCTTGGCCTCTGGGCCTGGTCTCTGCCCTGCTCAAGCAAGTGTTACCAAGCTCTTTTAGCTCTGCCAACAGGTGCACCTGGGTGCGCCCACTCTACCAGCAGGGCTCCCGCCCAAGAACACGCAGCTTTCTCGCTGTGTGGGCCGGAAAGCCCACTGCTCTCTCTCGTGACTCTTGGTTCCACTGCTGCCATCTTTGTGCAGGGCATCTCTCTCTCTCTGCCATGGCGTGTCTGCTGGGACATCTCTCTGCCAGGCGTCTCTGCCAAGGAGGTCCAGCGCAGGCATCTCGGGTCCAAGGACGCATTCCACGTCACCTCCAGTTCTTCTCTCTGATGGCAGTGAGATCCCGCTCTGCGTCTGTTGTCGTTAGGTGCTGTTGAGTTGGGTCTGACTTACAGCAACCCTGTGTACAACAGAACGAAACTCTGCAGCCAGTGTGTCAATCCACCTCCGTGAGGTCTTTCCCCTTTTTCACTGACCCTCTACTTAACCAAGCATGATATCCTTCTCCAGGGAATGGTCCCTTCTGACAACACGACCAAAGTAGGTGAGCCGAAGTCTGGCCATTCTCGCCTCCAAGGAGCATTCTGGCTGCACTTCCTCCAGGACAGACCTGTTAGTTCTTTTAGCAGTCCACGGTACTTTCAGCATTCTTCACCAGCACCACAACTCAAAAGCATCAACTCTTTTTCAGTCTTCCTTATTCATTGTCCAGCTCTCACATGCACAAGAGGCAATTGAAAACACCACAGCTTGGCTTAGGACCACCTTAGTCTTCAAAGAGTCATCTTTGCCCTTCAGCACTTTAAAGAGGTCTTCTGCAGCAGATTTTCCCAGTGCAATATGTCCTCTGATGTCTTGACTGCTGCTTCCATTGGTGTTGATTGTGGAACCAAGTAATATGAAATCTTTGACAACTTCAATCTTTTCTCTATTTATTGTAATGGTGCTTATTGGTCCAGTTGTGAGGATTTTCATTTCCTTTATGTTGAGATGTACTCCATACTGCAGACTGTAGTCTTTAATCTTCACCAGTAAGTGCTTCAAGTCATCCTCACTCTCAGCAAGTAAGGCTGTGTTGTCTGCATATCGCAGGTTGTTAATGAATCTTCCTTCAATCCTGATGCCACATTCTTTTTCATATAGTCCAGCTTCTTGGATTATTTGCTTAGCATAGAGATTGAATAGGTATGGTGAAAATAAGTATGGTAAAACTCTGACACACTTCCTTCCTGATTTTAATCCACACGGTATCCCCTTGTTCTGTTCAAACGACAGCCTCCTGGTCTATGTATGGGTTTCTCATGAGCACAATCAAATGTTCTGGAATTCCCATTCTTCACAATGGCATCCATAATTCGATATGACCCACACAATCGAATGCTTTTGCATAATCAATAAAACACAAGTAAACACCTTTTCTGGTATTTGCTTTCAGCCAAGGTCCATTTGACATCAGCAATGATATCCCTCATTCCACATCCTCTTCTGAATCCAACTGTCAGTATATTGCTGCAACTGTTTTTGAATTATCTTCAGCAAGGTTTTACTTGCATGTGATATTAATGATACTGTTCAGTAATTTCCAAATTCTGTGGGATCACCTCTTTTTGGAATGGGTACAAATACAGATCTCTTCCAGTCAATTGGCCAGATAGCTGTCTTCCAGATTTCTTGGCACAGGCAAGGGGTGGCTCCAGTGCGGCATGTGTTTGTTGAAACATCTCAGTGGGTATTACATCAGTTCCTGGAGCCTTACTCTTCACTAATTCCTTCAGTACAGCTTTGACTTCTTCCTTCAACACCATTGGTTCTTGATCTTATGCCACCTCCTGAAATGGATGAACATTGACTAATTCT